CATCAACATCTGCCACATATGCTTCGACGTCAGCATCATCAACCTCAGAAACATATTCGTTATCATCAGCAGCTGGAATATCTTCGCCAGCTCCTCCTCCAACTGGTCCATCTTCGCCAGCTCCTCCGACAACTGGCCCATCTTCGCTAGCTCCTCCAACAAATGGACCATCTTCGCCAGCTCCTCCGACAACTGGCACATCTTCGCTAGCTCCTCCAGCAAATGGACCATCTTCGCTAGCTCCTCCAGTAAATGGAACATCTTCGCTAGCTCCCCCAGTAAATGGAACATCTTCGCTAGCTCCTCCAGCAAATGGAACATCTTCGCTAGCTCCTCCAGCAAATGGACCATCTTCTCTAGTTCCTCCAGCAAATGGACCATCTACGCTGGCTCCTCCAGCAAATGGACCATCTACGCTCGCTCCTCCAGCAAATGGACCATCTTCGCTAGCTCCTCCTCCAACTGGCCCATCTTCGCTAGCTCCTCCAGCAAATAGAACATCTTCGCTAGCTCCCCCAGTAAATGGACCATCTTCGCTAGCTCCTCCAGCAAATGGACAATCTTCGCTAGCTCCTCCAGCAAATGGACCATCTTTGCTAGCTCCTCCAGCAACTGGCAACTCCTTGCCTCGCTCTAAAAAACAGTAGGTCAATGAAGATGAAAAATTCATCAAGTCAGCATCTACTTTTTTTGTGAAGATTCCGCCACTGATGACTCGAAACAAAAATTATACAAGGCTGCAACAAAGACAATTAACTTATGAAACCTATAAGAAGGCTACAATTTTCATTTTTCAGCAATAAATATGCAATTCTGTATTTACTAGAGTACCACGGGCACCTTTTTTCTCGAACTTGGGTCTCAAAAAAGGGGGAAATTTTTCAAACAGTAGTAGAAGTTCAGGTGTGCGTCTTTCTCGAATAAAGTGGGAAATCTTTGACAAGAATTATTCTTAAATCAAAACAATTTAAAATTGATTGAATTCGGATCGAATTCATGTTGAATATGAATTATGAACAATATTTTTAGGAAATATTTTGTCAAATACCTCAGTTTATTTTTAATGAACAGCAGTTTTCCAGTCACTAAAAATTGGAGCAAGTAGTTACTCAGGGATAGGATTTCATCAAAATTGTAGGGTGAAAAACTAGGGTGCGGTACTTGAGTAAATATGGTAATTAGGTATGTTTGACTAAATTAGGACTTTCTTCAGAAGAGCTCGCGATTTCCAATCTAACGTACATAAACTTAATACGGCACATAATTTTCTGTACAGAGCAACGAAGTTTCAACATTTGGCACCAAACATCAGAATTTTAATGAAAAATCCCTATGCTTCTTGTTTGCCCTTTAGCCAAAGCAAAGGACAACTTTTACACTCACCTTCCACAGATTCCTCAGGAAGTTTGGACATTGAAGCAACATTAACAATCTGCAAACTTGTCGATGCACTCCCTTGATCTTTCCTTTCGTCATCTAGAATTATGAATTTATTTTTAAAGCTAAAATTTCATGCAATGCACGCTTCCCTCACCTGAGTCGTCATCATCCAGCAAAACTTCAATAGCCACTTTCTCCTTCTCTTGTTCAGCGAGATAATTTTCGATTCGCACTATGAACTGGCTCGCCATGTACTTGAAGTCAATCAACTGGTCAATTACTGAAATACGAGCGAATTCATGGACACAGTAGGCAGGGTTGCATTAGGAGAGAGCTTGATAACAGTGCTTATTCAATGTACTAA